CCACTCCCTGGCACAATCATAGGCCGCAAGACCCATGGCTATAGGTACGACTAGTGGTGGTACTCTTGATATGGTGGTGGAGATGAGCAGTACGGTGTTGTTGGAAATCGACACCCACATTGTCGCACCACTTCGTTGAACGACATGGGTCCATAAGTAGGCCGCGAACAGAATGATGAGTCCGAGTAGGAATCCGAATACTAGAAGAGAGAGGAGAGCCACTTTACGAAGCGGACGATGTGGCGGTGGCGGATGGAGGGCGATATCTGTCTGTTCTGCTGGTGTTATCACAGGTACGGCCTTGTAAGAGGTTTCCCGGTCGCTATATCCACCCTTTTCCAGCGTTGGACGATGTTGTGACGAACTCCAGTCGTGTCTATGCTCCATATGATGGCCTCGGGGAGATGGATGACGACAAGGACGTTCGAGTTCCATCTGAATAGTTTGAACTGGATCCAGTCCTTTGGATCAGGGCATCGTACGGATCCGGGTCTTGGACAGGTAAGTACCTGCAGGTCGACCCGTAAGAATACCGGTGTGCAGGTAGTCGGGTATTGAGCTGAAAATCCATTTATTGGAAGTGTTTTCCGTAGTCCTAGACATTCCATTTAGGTGAAATATGGGTAATAATGCCTTGAACTGACATTACCATCGTTTCCTATTCGATACCCGCAGGTACCTGTACCAGAGTCCCCATACCGGTCTTCACAGCCTGCCTGTCACGGATCCAGGTATGATATACCTGCGGGTACTAGGGGTGCGGCGCGGGTGATCCGCGGATGCAAGTGATAAGGACCTTCTGACCCGACCGCATTCACACTCGAGTCGCTTATTTGGACATTGGTCAGGGATGGATTGATTCGTTCCACTGTCTATTGTAAATGCCATCAGCTTGATCTGGTCTTTAAAGAGGAGGAGTAGGTGTCTTTGACCACTGATCTCCTCGCGCCCCTGATGATATCGTCCATTATCTTTGCACTTTTGTGCAGCAATTTGGCTATCAGTCAACTTGTCTCTCGATCCCCGGAATACTCTTGCCGGTATGTACAATCTGAATTCCGTGACTGGCCAGCACTTGACATATCATTCCAGGATATGTAACCTCGTTGACATCTTTACCCGCTATTACAACCGTTCGGATCACTATGGCATCTCTTCTGTTTGCATGCCAATAACCTGCGACGCATCAACGATAGAATCGCTTCATGGGCCTAGCTGCATAACTCCTAGGGGAGAATCGCTTGTATGTAATAGCACAGTATCCCATAGCGGATGGATGGGCTGGAATGGTCATTACATCATCTGTAATTGTGACGGACCAGTTTCCTCGACCAGACTTGGTGACTTGTCTTCGCTGGGGTCCCCCATCAACTCGAGTGACCCATCGGCAAGCTACCAGCCCGTGGATTGTTCGACCAACTTTGAGACCGCCACGAACACACAGACCACTTGCAAGTTCAGAGACGTCATGAATCTCTATTCCTATTTTTCCGAGGGAGCTTACGCTACGAAATGTCTCGAATTATTCTACCCCAATTCTAACCCTCTAAATCCTTACTACTATGATGGCACTCCGTTAACTTGCGACGGCTCTATTCACGTTTCGCTTACAAATGTTACATATGTTTGCGAAGCTGGTAAAAATGTGAATGAGGAGACTGT